AGGGAAGGGAAGGGAAGGGAAGGGAAGGGAAGGGAAGGGAAGGACATGCCACATACAGAAGTGTGCAATAATTAAGGTGGTCACAGTCGTTAATGTTTCCAACAGTTACTTGCTCTTTTATCTGAAATGGTACAGTCTCCAGCCTGGTCCACAAGAAAACACCTTCAACCACCTTTCTATAAGTCTGATCCAAACCTCCTGTCAGACTAGACAGTAGAATCTTTCAAACCAGTGTTGTGACTTTACTCTGCTAGTCAGCTCAGCCTCATACAGCTGGTTGCTCATTCCCTCCTCAGTGGGAATGGGAGGAGAATCTCAAGTGTAAAAGTAAGAAAACTCATGGGTTGAAACAAAGACAGTTTAATGGGTAAAGCAAAAGCTCTGTGTACAAGCAAAAGAAAAAAGAATTCATGGCAGGTGTTCAGCCATCTCCAGGAAAGCAGGGCTCTGTCACCCTGACAGCTACTTAGGAAGATAAATACTATTAACTCTAAACATCTCCCCTTCCTCCTTCTTCCCTCAGCTTTTATATGCTGAGCATGCTGCCATATGGAGTGGAATATCCCTGTGGTCAGTTGGGACCAGATAGCCCAGCTGTGTCTCCAAAATCCTTGTGCACCCCTACCCTCCTCACTGGTGGGGTGCATAAGGACCAAAAAAGGCCGTGACTCTGTGTAAGCTCTGCTCAGCAGTAACTAAAACAACCCTGTGACATCACAAATCCAAATCATAGCTCCATAGCAGATTCTACTTAGAAAATTAATTCTACCCTAGCCAAAGCCAGTAAAGACAACTACCTAGTCTTCTGTGCCCAGCTTGGTCTGTAAAACTGTATCTGTACATTTAATAATTTAGGATAGAGCACTATAGTCACAGCAAACTCCTGTGCTACAGAAACTCAGTGAGGATGTATTAAAAAGTGCCACGATGCTCCACTAGCTGAACTACAATTGCAGCTAACCCACTACTAGCTCTCTGCCCACCATATTAAGCTTTCTCCTAAATTCCATGCAGGAATTCAATCTTAGAACTACTTTCCATGTTGCTCATGTTTAAAAGTGGTATAAAACTATTAAGGGAATGCTTATTCTTTGCTGGAATACGTTCAAGAATGTCAAACGTGCTAGTGTACATTTGCTTACAAATTAATCAGGGTTCTGACATGTGTCATGGGATCTGTACAAGCTGAATGGCAAGACCAGGTTCTTAAACCTTCCCCTCTAGTACTTCCACTGAATGATTGCATAGGTAAGTGTTAAAAATAAAAAAATGAAAATCCAAGGCTGAATTTATTTGTGTTGATTCTGTTGTCGGGGAATCAGTGTCTCTGATGTTGCTTCTGTTGTCACAATTTTGTCAGTTCTCAGGGACCTTTTTGTAAAAATAACAACATAGAGGAGGTCTGAACTTGATGTTGAGCTTAAAACTGATCAAAAGAGTCTAATGTCCATTCCACACTTTCTTTCTACAACAAAAAGCAGGAAAGAGGTCACAGGCTGTAATCTATACCTTTTTCATTAGCTACCAGTGACAAGATAGACTGGTTTCTATTTAATATGAAAACTAAGTTAGTTTAGTCAGGCTGAGCAAATCTTTCTTGTTAAGAGTCACCATTTGTGCTAGCTGTGACTGTGCCAAAAAAAGCAAGTTGTAATGAATAGGATTTCCAGAAAATTAGTCAGATAGGCATTATAATTATAAAAGGCTTTTGAATCATACAGAGCACTAAATTCATGTATCAAATACAGATATTTTCTGTTGATAGAAAACCACCCTTTTTGATCACAAAACCAAGCAGTTTTCCCACTGATTCCTATGACAGTCCGGAATAATCACTAGAGGACACATTGTTTAATCTGTCGTGTCATATAAACACACATTTCTCCTAAAGAGGGTTACACAGCGTGTTGATGTGTACTATGGCCAGATCTGAATACAATCCAAGGAAATGAGAATCTGTCCACTGACTTGAGTCTGAATGCAACTTCAAAGAAGGCAGACCCCTGCTGATTGACATTAAATTCCTTCTACTCAGTTCAATGCCAGCATAAGAAAGCTTAACTCTCCTTTATAAACAGCTGTAATCTTGTCATAGTGAGTTTAATGTTGTCAACCATTAATAAAAGTAGTCTTAAATATTCTTATTTTGCTTCATGATATTAATCAGGGCTTTCCTGCATATGAATCCTTTTGTCAAAGGAAATGATTAACTATCCTGACCAACCAGGAAGTGATACACTCAAGGTATAGGCATCCCATTGCTAAGAAAAGAGGAAAGGTAAAATCTAATTAAAATCAGCTGGTGGCTTTTATGGTTAGCAGTAACAGTACCTTGGAGCAATTTTAAAATCACTGTTGCTTTGTTGCCAATGGAATGGCATTTAAATAATACCTAGGAATTTGGGAAATATGTATGAAAAAATTGTCCTTGGGATCTCTTTTCCTTCCCTTTACTCCACTAGAAAATAATCAATCTGAATGACCAAGAAACCTGTGCAATAAGCAAGAACAGTGGTTTATCTTTTTTATGAACACTTTTTTTTCCTTTTTTTGTCTTCTCAGGACTGGCTCTATACTTCGCTGACAGAAGGCAAAGGTGGACTATAAAGTGTAAGAGAAATAATGAGATATAAAACTAAAACACCACCTAGAAAATATTCTTAAAAATGGAAGGGCAAAAAAATCCACACTGTGGCCCAGGAAACCATTTCCTAGTACTTGTACATATGTCTTGATGCAGATCTCGTTCTGCAGTGATTAATTAACTTTTTCACTAATATATGCAAGCAGATTCAGTTTCCTAGGGGCATTCTAATTAATTAGTTTTTCACTCTGAATAATATAGCTTTTCTAAACGGAAGCCTCCTGACTACATGTATTAATGGATTCTTTAAAATCTTTTGGCAGTTTTCTTATGTTCTACTTTGAATGTCACAACAGTGAAGTGCTAGCTACAAAAAAACCCACTCCAGTAACTTTTTAGAAAGGCTTTGAGGCTAAAAGAATCAGCAGTATCTTTTATCTTTTGTTACTTGAAGTTTAAATAATGCTCTCCCTCCCTCCCTAGTCAGCAAATAGTACAAAGCCAAATCAAGCTCAAGTTTAAGTAAAGAAAGAAAGCAGGCAGATACAAATGAAATGCAGAGACACAGTGATCCAAAATAAACAAATCCTGACACACATCATTACTAAAGCATACACAGAGGCCATTATAGCAGCTAAAAGGGAATGGAAAACTAGAAGCCAACAGTATCAGTTTTCACTGCAATGTCCCCATTTGGGAGGGGGAACTGAATATTTACTAACTTATTTATTTAGCTTCTGTCTTATATTTATGCATTTATTTAGGTACTTTCAATTCCCAGTTAGAACTCTAGGCATTTTCATCACATAAAATCAATAGGTTTATCCTCCACTCCCAGTTTAAGATGTTGCATGTTTATTGAGCTTCTGAAATGATAAATCCAATCCTCCTAGCTTTACTACCATAAACTTGCAGAAACTGTTCTTCATCTGGCAACAAAAGGCCTTCCCAAACACTGAAACATCCATTTCTCCAGAATTCCAGTATCTCAAATATATGATAACTTAACAAAGCCCTCACCTTTGCTCATACTAGGCAATCAATTCAGCAAATAACCTACTGTGTACAATACCACTTCTTTCTTCCAAAACACAATGTCCATCTTCCTTGTGTTCAGCTGCAAAAGCTTAAAGACTGCTGACTCCCTAACTTTATGTGCCTGATGAAGCCTAATTAACATCACTGAGGAACACAACACACTTTACTGTACAATGTCTTGGCAGCTGACATTTTTCTGGTGGCTTTTCATGGTTGGCCACTCTTAAATCTCGGTAATATCTGGCTGGGTGTAGGCTGGCTAGACTTCAGAAGAGCCCTGGTGTTAGGCAAACTGCCTCAAATGATATAGCCAATGACCTCAAATGAGCCTTCAAAAGAAAACTACTGTGCTTCCTAAGTGCATTTGTGTCATCTGCACTTCCTATTGATTTTCTATTAAGATTTACGCATAGTGCTTTTGCTTTGTGAACATCTCCAGCTGCTATTGAACTGCAAATAACAAAGAGTAAATGCAATTTTTTTTTCCCTTACCAGCAAATGCAAATGAAGGTGGACTTGACAATGGCAACTACTAGCCAGTAATCATGGACAACAATCATAAATGGAAGAAATCCAAGCAGAATATTTATTTATCCACCCGAATGTATCTACCTCTTTTCAAGATTGACCAGAAGACTGCAATAGGCATTTCTACTTCTCAAAAGAGCACAAAGAACTCTTCAGTGATCACATCTGCCCCAGAATGTTTATTTATCTTATTTTCTAAACAATTATTTCTTCTATCTATCTTCTATATGCTACTTTTCTCCAGATGCATTTTCACAAAGTTGTTTTTGGTGGCTCCACATGACATAATTTGTTTTCTTCTTCCTTTTTGTTAATGTACCATTTTTACTCAGAGTTTACTGTATTCACAGAAGTTTCTATGAATCAGAATGCCTCCAGAAAGCCACAGCTTTTGAATAATCATCTAGCTAATCTGATTCTATGAAATACTCAAGTGCACTTCCTGAGATCAACTTGAGGTAAAGTGTGAATAGACTATTTTGAGAGTGAAACTATATTTTAACATGTTTTGACATTTTAATCAAAAGAACCTAATTTCTCTTTGTGCATTTCCCAAGCTCAAATGATATATTCAAAATAAGTGGAATTTCTGAGCCCATATGCTTTAGTAATTGTGCAGTAAGAAAGTTTTGGGCTTTGACATCTCATGTTTTCAGAAGCTAACAGAACAGCAAAATATCTGTCATATTTCGAACTGTGACAGAAACTAAGGTACAGAATGATCCATAATTTATGAGTCACATTTGACAGTTGTTATTAGAAAGTCCAGTTTTTGCTAAATTAACAGCACAGGTATGTGAAGAAAAAAACACTGTGTAACTAAAGGAGTAACTAAAGGAGTAATTCATTATAAGAGATGACTGCCAGACTTCACAACAAAGCCAAGGATCACAGTGCACTAATATAACTTTGTTACAAACCTAAGGGCTTTCATTTCACACAGTACTTTCCACACTGGGATTCCCAAACTCCTTCAAATATCCCAAAATCTCTAGTATGAGGCACTACTGATTTGCTTTTACATATGTGGGAACTGGGCCACCAGCAGCTGATGCACCTTGCCTGGAGCCCCTAAATCCTGACATTTACACACAGGACTGCTTTTGCCCCTACTTCTAATATCCTACAGCACATTACAATATAAACACATAGTCTTTGCAAACCTTTAAAGTGAATTCAAAATTTCAAGTTACAATTAATCAACTAATTTCTGGTTGCTTTGAAAATGATGCTACCTGTGATGTGTAACTGCCACAAGGCAGTCTGTGCCTAACTGGATGTCACACCTCTGCCTACACCCAATCCCACAGCCATTTTCATTTTGAGAGATAACAAAGGGGTAGGACCCTTAACCCTCCAGAGCAAAATACACAGACTTTTCCCATTAGTTATTTCTGCCCACAGCTTGCTTCCTACATGCAGTCTTATGTATGTTGAATCCCATCCAGTGAGAAAAATGTGAATTTTTCCAATAATTTGGTTATTACTAGATAGTTAATACTAGCTCTTGAATTGCTAAGGCTGGGGCAGTGAAAATGGTGTTCCCTAACAAAATCTATTGGACAGTGCAAGATGGAAGGAGAAAAATAACTGCAGCACCCATCACTCATAACATACTTGCACAAAGCCAGGCTGAATCTAGGATAAAAGAATGATAATAAATACTACACAATAGGAAAGAGCAACATTACCATGCTTTGAAAAATGTATTAGTAATGTAATCAAAATTTCTTTATGCTGTATATCACAATGCATGGCAGCTAACCAATGCTTCTAAGTATATTACTATTTCCCTGGCCAGAAATGTGTGCTGATAAGAAATGGCATCCCCTCACTCCATAATGTAAAATTCATTTGTGCCTCCCTCACTCCCCATTCTAAACAGTGGTATTTCAAAACGGCTCTGGCATCTACTTTCCTATCTCAAAAAGAAAAATATTATTTCAAGAAAAGTTTAAATGCTTGTAAGTATAATGATTTTCTCTGTAAGAAGAAAATTTTCCTTTTCCCTTGTTTGAAACATTAAGTCATGATGGGTTTTCAAGCTGACATATCAATTATGATGGGTTGATGGCTACACTACATTGCACTGCAGCAAATCAGGAAGCATTCATCTTGGAAAATTGAGAGAGTAACACAGACACAAAGACACACATACATTACTCTCCCTCTTTTCAGCTTTGCTGCAAATTCTGCCAAAAAAAAAAAGAATGTAATTGACTCAATCACAGTGATAATTTAGCTAAAACCCTGCTAAACATTCACCTAACACTGGACACATGCACAGGTGTTCAGTAATCCAGTTATGGGAAAAAAGCATGCAATGTGTTTCTCACCTGTAATGTGGTAGCTAACCTGCCGATTGACATCAGATGTATCTTCATCCCAGGTGCTAAGAACAGCCACAACTTCCCCTGGAGGGTCACTCTCCTTCACTGACCCTCTGTACACCTCGTGCTCAAAGACGGGTGCATTATCATTTATATCTGTCACAGTAACTGAGACCAAGGTGGTTGAGGACAAGGACAAAGTTTCCCCCAGATCTGAGGCCACCACTGCAAAGGTGAAAGCAGAATCCTTTTCATGGTCCAGGTCCTTCAGTGTACTGATCCAGCCACTGTTGCTATCAATGGCGAATGCTTCTGTGATCTTCTGCAGCTCCGATTCCACCGCAAGCGTGTACGTGACCTGCCCATTGGCACTCGAGTCTGCATCAACCGCTTTGACTTGCATAAGTTTTGTTCCTATAGGCATCCCCTCCATTATTATAGCATCGTAGCTAGCTGCTTCAAACACAGGCTTGTTGTCATTTACATCCAACACCTTCACCTCCACATCCACGGTCAGCACAACGTCTACTTTGTCTAACTGAATTGTGGCCGCAACTTTGAAGTGAAAGGCGGGATTTATTTCGTGGTCGAGTCTCTTATCCAATTTTATGAGCCCTGTGTCTTTCTCTATGATGAAAACCCCATCTTTGTTGTTTTCAGGTAGCTCACCATTAACTGTGCTATACAAAGCACCCTGATTGGGCAAAACATGCAGAATGTCAATGGTACTGCCTATGAGGGTGTCTTCTGCCACAGTGAAAGAATACTGAGGTTGAGAAAAAGAAGGCAAAATGGTTTCTGGTGGTAAAACATGGATGTAGACAGGAATGAGAGAATGCTTTACAGGAATGCCACCATCAACTGCTTTGACAAAGAATGACAGAACAGTGTTTTTCGGCTGGCTAAAGCTACCCTTGGTGACCATCCATCCATTATCTGGATCTATTTCAAGCAGATCAGCTACTGGAACAGAGGCTTCACTATACAGAGAATAGGTAATTCTGGAATTGGCTCCGTCATCTGGATCTACTGCTTGCACTTGGGTCACCAAGTAACCTTTCCCAACATCTGCTTTGACACTTGCTCTGTATTCTACCGTCATAAATACGGGAGCATTGTCATTCTCATCCACTACTATCACTCTCACAGTGCAAAATGTAGTCCTGCCACCTCCATCAAGGGCTCTCAGGAATATATCGATATCACTTTCCAGTGGGTTCTCACGGTCTAACCTCTCAGTTGTCAGAATCTGCCCATTTGCGTCAATCAAAAATCGGTCCTTGGCGAAGTCATTAATTATGGAGTAGCTGATCTGGCCATATACACCTGAATCCCCGTCTGTTGCCTTCACATGGATTACCTTCGTTCCAGGAGCAGCGTTTTCTCTAACCTCTGCAACATAAATGCTCTGTGAAAACACAGGGCTGTAGAGGTTGGCCCCGAGGATCTGTATGTGCACCTGAGCCGTGCTGGTGAACAGCCCGTCTGACACAGAGACGTTCAGGCTGTACATGGGCTCCATCCTCTGCTTGCGATGGTTGGAAAGGGTGATCACACCGCTCTTGCTGTCCATAATGAAACTCGTCCGATCATTTCCTGATAGGATGCTGTACTCCAGTCTGTCAAAGTCAGAGCTGTCGGCATCAGAAGCTTGGACACAAGTCACAAAATGACCCCGGGGTGCCAGTTCGCTCACATATGATTCATATATTAACTGGTTAAAAACGGGAGGGTTGTCATTCATATCTGTTATTGAGATACTAATGAGAACCTCACTGCTCAGAGGTGGGAACCCATTATCAGTTGCTCTGACTTTCAAGCTGCACTGCTGTATGAGTTCATGATCCAGCATCCGGGCTGTCAGAATTAGGCCACTGCTGCTGTCTATATGGAAATAGTCAGTGCTGTTAAAGGTGTCCTGGACTATCTGGTACTGTACAATCTTGTTATTGTCGGAGTCGGCATCAGTAGCAACAACCTGCAGTACAGGAGTCCCGATCAAAGAAGCTTCGGACAGAGTAGCATTATAAGCTGACTGATCAAAAACTGGAGGATTATCATTAACATCATTAACTATCAAGTCCACAGTTACCTCGGCACGAGCGCCAGTGAGAGCATCGCTGGCTCGCACCGTCAGCTTGAAAAGAGAATTTATTTCATAGTCCAGTGGGCTGATGACACTCAGAACTCCAGTATCAAAGTCGATATTAAACTGGTTGTAGGGATCTCCATCAACAATGATATAAATGATACCCTGGCCTTCTGGACTGGTTGCATTTATGCTTAAAATTGGCATGTGCATTTCTACATCTTCATTGACGGAAGCTGTATAGAAGGGCTTGTCGAACACAGGCATTGCTTTGTTAACAATAGTAATGGGGAGCTCTACCAACGCAGACAGTGATGGGTTACCTCCATCTTTGGCAAGAACGACAACCAAGTACTCTATATTAGACAAATCGGAATTGAAGGCTTCTTTTAAAGTGACGCTACCAGATTCTCTATCAATTTCAAAATGTCCATAGTCTTCCTTCAGCAGGTATGACACCTCGCCATTGTCACCCTTGTCTTTATCAATAGCTGTCACCCGATATATCAGGGTACCAGGTTCAGCATCAACCTGCACAGCAGCGTAATATGGAAGCCCCACAAACACCGGGGCATTGTCGTTTATGTCCTCAATGTAAACTCTCACCACGACTCGAGCGACACGGAGGTGGTCTAGCTCACGGCTTGCTTCCACCACCAGCTCATACAGCTCCTGTTCCTCTCGGTCAAAGGGGATGCCAGTGGTCTGAATGACTCCAGAGGTGGATTTGATTTTAAATTTGTTTCCTGGGTTTAATATGCTGTATTTCAAAGGCTCGTTGAGGCGGTTGCCAACAGCATTCACCACAGCGATCTTTGTGATATTGGTAGTGTTTTCTGAGATAGAAGTGGAATAAAAATTTTGTGTGAAATGGAGTCCACTATCCATAGCTTCTTTTACCATTATTGTCACCATAGCAGTGCTATAAAATTTCCCATCAGATACTCTTACTATTAGCATATAATGGTCTTTGGAGAGACTGTTGTTTTTAATGGTGAGTACCCCTGTGCTTGAGTCAATTAAAAAATGATCCATATTGCCTTCAATTATACTAAATGTTAGTTCTGGAGGGATCTCTGAATCTGGGTCTGAAGCTTTGACTTTGAGAACCTCAACACCAATGTATGTGGGCAGGAGCAAGACTGTCTCAAACACGGCCTGACTGAAGACTGGTGGGTTGTCATTGACATCAGTGACCTCAATGGTCACTTCAACTGGGCTGTCCGCTGTAAGTTGGGGATTCCCACTGTCTCTAACATGAACATGGAAATGGAAGCGGGCTATTGTTTCATGATCTAAATTTGCAATTGTTCTGATTGCACCTGTACTGGAATCTACTGTGAAATACTTTTTTGCAGTTGACTCAACAATCTGGTAGACAAGCAAAGCGTTCTGGTTGCTGTCAGCATCAGTGGCACGTATCACAAGGGGACTGTTATTCGCACTCCGGACCACGCTGTTCACGGGAGCAGCTTCACTTATGCTGCCTGAGTACTGAGAGAAGAGAAAAACTGGTGGATTATCATTTTCATCAACAATCTGAATGTTCACAGTGGCATTTGAGGCCATGCCTGCCATATTAGTTGCCTGCACGATGAGCTGATAGGAGGAAGCCCGCTCATAATCAAGGGCCTTTTGACTGGTGATCACTCCAGAATATGGGTTTATAGTGAAGACTCCATCAACATTGCCATCTTTAACCTCATAAACTAATGTGGACTGACTGATTGCAGAGAGAGAAATGACAGAAGTACCAATATCCACATTTTCATTAACTTCTGCTTGGTATTCTTTTAGAGTGAACTTAGGGTGGGAGTTATCTGCCATCGTCACAGAGATCCGCACAATTGCTGTTGCAGACAGCGCTGGAGAACCTTGATCAGTCACTTTGACCGACAAAACAAACTGTCCCATTGTGGTTAAGTCTGGCTCCTTGAGTAATGTAATGATGCCTAAAACTGGTTCAATCTTGAATGTGTTTCCCGTGTTTCCTAAAACAAAAATATTGGAATGAGATTAGAAATGAAATGTGAATCACCTGATGAAATCTTAGACCAGGAGCAACAAGCTCCATTTTCAAAGGCAGTTACTCAAAAAAGCATGCCAAAAAAACCCAACGTAGAAGTATTCTAAAGGCCCTTCCAGCCTTTCTTTCTGCTAATTAGAGAGCTCATTAGATGGTATAGGTATTCAAAGCATCAGAAACTCAGGTGTTGCTGCCTCTATCTTGATTCTCAGTACCAGCATCTGAGCAGGAACTGCATGCACATTATTCCTACTGAAGTAAGGAAAAGCATCCCTAAATTACAGAAATTAGTCAAATACATGTACACCTAAGGCAAAGAAATGAGATCAGAGGCTAACAAGCCAATTACAAGACTAATGGATAACAACTCAGGCTCCTAATTGAATGGGATATTAAGAAACCGTACAGGAGATTACAGTAGTTCAAGACTCAAAGAACTGAATATAAAAAGGTTAAAGTGGCATTTAGAAAAAATAAAACAGAGCAAATAGCATAGAAAAGAGATTCAAGTGTCTTGTGGCACAAAGGTTTATCATATGATCTCTGAGGAGGATGAATCCAGATGAATGAGATTTAGCAGAAAATGTCATGAAATGCCTGTTACAACATGAAAGCACGGATATCACTGACTGCATAAAGATGAAAACAGTCAGTTTGGATCACAGAACTTTTTAGGGGCAGTTATTTCTTTCTGGTCTTTTCGCCAATCTCTTCTTCAGCAAGACAGATTCAAAACTTTCTGTATGTATTCTTACCCTGTAATTAGAGATCACCTTTAACTGCAAATCTTTATTTTGCTGTTTTACTGAGTGCCTGCTTGAAGTATAGGACACTGCATATATATATGGCATATGTAATCATACAGACTCTTTTTCTGAATTTGATTCTAAAGGCAAACAACATATACTGAGTTACAGTGATTTCAGTCACTATACCATATTCCCTCTATTGTAATTCACATCTTAAAATCTAGAACTGTTTCCAACCTACAGTCAAGCATCCGTCCAAGGCTGGGGCAGGTGATACACAAGAGGGTTTTTTTAATAGTGCTAGTTACAGGTGCTGTGCACAGAGCAATAAATGTGTAAGTTGTAGCTAGAACGCCAAATACATGGAATCCTAAATGAAATGAGGTAACATGAACTATTTTTAAGATATGATTCACTATCTGTTGTAAATTCTGGAGGCTAATTTCAGCTACATACTACTCAATGTAGTTCAATACTGGTAGTGGCTTTCAAATTATATCCTTCCTTTCAGATGAGTAAAGTTTACTCTACTAGCTAAACTGAAAATTGTGCTATTCACCCAGGAGGTGAGATTCCTCCAGAGCTACAAATTCTCATAAAAATTTACAGTATCTGTCACATTTACAGACACTACAAATGCTGCTGCTGTTATTTTGTCAGTGCTTGCTAATACAAATAATTTTGAGCCACTGACTGCCTCCTGCAAGGCCAGAACTGGTTCTTCTCCTTTAGGAATTCCTTATGAAATTACACAAAATCTGCTTTTTTTACCAATTGCTCTCTTCAGAGCAATGTAAGATGAGGTGAGTAATTCCCTTGAATCAAAAGGCTGTGTACAATCTGAATTCTGCAGTTAAAATCAATATCCTCAACTGCACATTACATGGATCACAGAAACTACAGCTGCAGAATACTGAATTTTCATGCATCTGAGATTGGGACATCTGTGGATAATGAAACTGGAGGCGTGTGAGCCCCACAGTAAATGGAAGTTGGAGGTCTGACATTGCAGAGAGAGCTCATGATGAAACAGAAACAGGCTGTAATGAAAAAGAGAGTGTCTAGAAATCATCTAATAGCTAAAGCATCTTTTCTAATAATAGTATTTTTTGTCTGCATCATGTATGATTCTATTACCAGTGTAATGGGAACTATACTCCTTAGATGTCAGGATGCACTTTACATTGTGGGGGCACCTCTAGAGGACTGGGAACCTGTAAAACCTGTAATAGTAATAAGGTGTCAAGAAAAACCTGGGAATAGTCTCGAAAAACATTGCCCCAGGAACCCGATCTATTCTGCTCAGAATTTATTCCATAAGGCACAGTGTTGTCCTGTCTGGGCACGTGTAAGACTGGCCCTAAATTAAGTCAAAGGCCACTGGAGAATACTGAGAAATAATTGCTAAGACCAAACACAGTGCATAAAAGAAATATTTGGTTTGGAGTGCTAACATCTTCCTCATTCCAAGTTCAACACTTTCAGCTGCAAAATACTTCACCTTCTGGTTTGCTGAAGGTAATCTCCTTCCACAGAGCATACAAGATAATGACAGAAAAAACATTCCTTGGGTCTTCTCTAAACTTCAGGTTCTATTATCTTAATTTAAGGTGTGAGCTTGAATTATATGAAGCTAAATCAGCATGAGATGGTGTAGATATTCTTGTTTCATTATTTATTTGTCATTTAGCCTGTTCCTAATTGACATAAGCCATCCTAGCTAGTAACAAGTCTTTACAATAATATAGGGATAAATAATGATCCAGTAGGATCAGAGCCTAATGCTGGGAAAGGCTTGTGATCTCCCTAATATGGGTACAATCTGAAATACCTGTGACTTCTTTTTGTGACAATATAAGTTTCAAGTTTTGCTAGTATTACAGTGGAAAGATTACTATTATGAATAGAACCCCCAAAGTATAAATGAAACATTACAAAATTCTAAGGTTACAAATTTCTAATTTTCTCTCCTTTTCCATGCACCCCCCTCTTATATATCTGTCAGTGGTTTATCTCAAAGATAATTCTTAACTTCAGATTCATGTGACCCAGAGAAACTTACATTGACTTGCATGTGTGTCAGAGATACTGCAAATGTTTTACTACTGTGCTGCTGCACAAGTAGAAGAATGCTTTCGTTGGTACAGAATGTAAATACCCAGAGTTAAACAGCAAAAGCAATTTTCATCTGGTATCATCATATCCTCTCTTAGTTTCAAGAGACCTTGTGCCATTAAAATGCTGTGGCAGAAGTTTTAGCATAGCCCTGTTTGTTCTTAGTCTCTGTGCTCCTCTGGTCTGAATACTGGCAAAGATATCAGGATGTACCAGCTGTTGTGGCATTTTTTTATGGAGAATCCACTGTACACGAGTCTGAAACCAGAACCCTGAAAACAAGTCACTGGCTGCAGTTTTGAATAACTATCTTCTGTGATGGCTTTGACCCAATGACTTAGAGGTAACAGGCTCTGTAGCCATCTGGTGAAAGTGAATCAGTCACAGAATAACAGAATGGCTGGGCTGGAAAGGGACCACTGGAGAGCATCTGGTCCAACCTTCCTGCTAAAGAAAGTTAATCTACAGCAGGTTGAACAGGATCCTGTGGGGTTCTGAACATCTCCAGAGAAGGAGACTTCATAACCTCTCTTGGGCAACCTGTTCCAGAATGAGTTTGTTTTGACAGGTTTTGGGTAGAGTAGCTTCAAAATAAAATTTAAAAAAACCCCAACAAAACAACAAGGTGTCTCCTCTGCCCATCTGTACAGGAGAAAGCAGACCAAAGAAGCTGAATTGTGTGTCAAGGCAGATCACCATCACATCACTGTTATCACATCACATTATCACATCACATCCATGGTACTTCATTTTTGGCCTCTGTCCTAACCTGCTTCAATAGTGTAGATAAGCTCTGCATTTTCTCCTTTGTCTTTGTCCAGAGCTGTGACTTGCAACACTGCTGATCCAACTGCTGCTGATTCAAACACTGAGGCTTCATACAATGGGCTGGTGAAGTAAGGACTGTGGTCATTGGAGTCTTCCACATCTATGATGACTCTGGCCAGGTTTCTTCTATAAGGGAATTCTTGATCTCGGACCTATAGAACAAGTGCGTAACACACAATTTCGACAGTCATCTAGTAAAACTTCACAAGTATTACTCATCTCAGTGTGAATACTACTTTCAGTTCTATTTAATACAAAGTAGTAAAAAAAATCCATTTGTCCCAAAGAACAGTCTGAAATACATTCACACACGGGATGGCAGATAATATAATCAAAGAAACAGGAAAGAGCTTAGTGACTTTTATTTTTCACCGGTGAAAAACTGCATTGCAACTAACCATCATGACATGAATTTTTGAAGTGGAAACCACATGAGACCTTAAATTTGGGTTGAGGTTTGCAAGAATATATATTTTTTTTTTAATACTTGTTGAATGGTCATGCCTTTATCTTGCTATTGCCTTCTTTACAGCATACAGGCATGTCAGTCTACTGCTTGCAGCTGCCAATGCACTATTTCATGATCATACCAACAGTTAACAGAGCAGGAAGCACATTATGAAGTGCTGGTAACTGCCAGCAGAGGTGTAAGCCACCACACCTGTCTCAACCCCAACCAAAATACCTCAGCACTGCTCCACTGATAATCCTGCCATCACTATTTCCCCAAAGTTTTAGTTCTTCCTAAACAGAGGAAAAGACCTATTCTATCAGGCAAAGATCAAAACCAAGCACCAGGGAATTACCTCTCTTGGCCATGTGCTTCTGTGATTCAGTTTATAGCTATTTCTCAGTCTGCTTGCCAAACGACTTGCAACATTTTGCTCTGTGAGTGGAGACCACAATCAGCTCCTTGCTGCATCTCATAGCAGCATTTTGCTTCCTAGGATGCCTTGCCAAAGCTGTCCCTGTGCCTAACACACCATGAGTAGTTCCTTTGAAAGCCTCTGCTGCAGAAGTCTTAGGTGGTTAAAGAAAATAGTGGACTAGAATGTTTAAACTAACAGTTTTTGGTTTTGTTTTGTGGGCTTTTATTTTTTAATTACAAAAGAATTATGTTCATGATACACAATCTCCACTCCAAACAGAGAGATTTATGTTCTGTAGTCTAGGCATACCAAGCAAAAATTGGCAATTAACTTTCTTCTGCATACCCAAAGATTTGGAAATGAAATAAGTCCATAAAAGTAAGCCATAAATGAGGCCTGTATTCAGAAAGGCTGTAGCATTCTTCATGGCAAGAAAGCAGTTATCTCCCTGTGAATAACTTCTCAAATAACTTTCAGCCTCACTTCAGAACCTCTGAAAATTACCTTGAGGGAGAGGACCAGATGCCAAGAGATTAAATAATTTCCTGCTTGCTCTCCCTTGAGATAGAGAATCATATCACATTCGATACAATGAATTCACAATAAAGTTTCCCAAAAAGCTGAAATAAATACTGTGAAATAAATACACAGCAGGGTAGGCAAGATTAAATTAGTGGCTACTTATTGCACTGAGTCCTTTTCTCAAGTGAAGACTACTCTAGGTATGTACCTGAAGCAGCCATGACTGCAGCCAGACCCAAGGGAATGTTGCATTCTTACCATGACATTAAGGATGTGCTTATCTTGAGCTTCATGGTCTAATCTCTCAGCGGTATAGAGAACCCCAGTGTTGGGATCAATTCTGAATTTTCTCATGCTGACTGTGTCGATGCTGCTGTGAATGGTGTAGCTCAGCTTATGCTTTTCATCTCTGTCTATAGCTTCAATCTGCAGAATTTCAGTATCAGGGAGGATGTCCTCTGAAATGGTGACGTCGTAACTTGACTGAGAGAATTCTGGGCCATTATCATTGTTATCCAACACTTTGATAAGAACCTACAGTTAATAAAGAAAATAAATTCAAAGTTATTGAAGTCTAGTCAGACTATTGAATAAGCACCTAGAGAAATGCAATTTACTTTGAATGGCTGTAGATGTTATGCTGCTGCATGGTGGGACTAAGAAACATTATAAAATATTAAATGCTTACTTTTCAGATCAAAAGAAATAGAAAGGATTTGACTTTGGAAGTAAAATGTTCCTAACTGTAAGACCTACTCAGAGCCTGATAAAGAAGCCCATATTTTCAGTATCTATAGACTGGAAAATATTTCTACAATGGTCATAAGGAAAGTCCCTAGCAACTGCCTTGGTTATGAGAGACTTCTAGAACTATTATGTAATTTCCTTTCCCCTTCACTACTAATAAGGCTATAAAAGAATCCTTTTCATGTTGCTTAAATCTACTTCTTACACAATCAAGATTCAGCTGAATCCTGTGTTTTCTGCCCAGTATACTGCATTGGAGCTTACTGGCAACATCAAATTGTGACAGCAGTGGAGACTTCAAGTTGATGTGACACCTCTGATTGCTCTTAAACCACTTGAGAAGGGCACAGGAGACACAACCTCAACACCACACAAGCACACCCCACACAGATCAGTATGTACCACCAAGGACAGCTGATCTCGGGGCACTGGTGACACAGAAGGATTTCTTTTTCTGTTACATTTTTGCTCTTCTTTTGCCAGTGATGGTTGTCTTTATTCTCAACTAATTCACTTTCCCCTCCAACACCTATTTGCCTCCTTTCTGTTGCAGTTTATGAATGGTAGAACACTAAAAATGCGAATGAATGCTGTGCTCTTTGCCTCAAATATGCCTTTAAAACTTCAGTATTGATCCTTAAGTAATCTTGGAAAGGGAGAGAACAGGCGAGGGTGCTGGTATTGCTGCCTATTACACCCATTTCAATGTATCACAAACTGACTGATAAATAATAAGAATCACTGTTTTCCAAGCTTTGCCTTTCACAAGTTACACTATGCACGTGTCCCTCTGATGACACTTTGTGGGTTTTGCCATTGGAGAAGTCACTCCCTGGGGAAAATGTGCTTTCCAGACTTTGTATGCCATACATTTCTGTGGGCAGTGTGGCAGCAACACCCTTGACAAGCTGTGTAATAGTGAAACTGAAATCTGAAGAGCTGACTCCTTTTCAGTGCTAGAAACAAAAAGTATTTTCCCAGAATATGCCTGTGAAAGCACATATCTAATTTTACAGTAAGTAAAATGGAACAATCTTTTTATTCAAAGGCTTTGAAACAAGAAATAGTCCTATTAATGACTTGGGAAAGGCCATGCACAGGACTCTTTGGTCAGACTAGGAGACCTGACCTATCACTCATTATATTTTCTTTGTTGCTTTGTTACTTGGCTCTTTTTTAAGCACGTATTTTATTATTTTGCTTGATCAAGCCCTGTTCACCCATACTTTCTTAACAGAAGAAAAACACAGCTATACTTTTACTGCAATATTGCACAAACAGATGCTGGCCTCAGAGAGAAATGAAACTTTAGATTTCCATGATATGTGGAAGGGTTTGCAGAATACATTACCAGAAGGAACATGAGCAGTTGTAAGAAGCAGTTGTAATGAACTAGCCTGGGAACTGTTCAAAAGACAGCTGAAATAAAATGCTCTGTAAGTTAAATGGCATAAGACTTGAATTCCATACAATTTCATTTTCACCAGATTATGGCACGCCAGAGTGAAGCAGGGTGAAGCCTATATTAAGTTATACTTCAGTCTTGGACAGATAGCAATACAATTGGGGGGAAATACACATTGCTAGGCTTATAATAATGATGAAGAGTTACTTAGCTTTTTATACTTTTATTGCTGTAATATATCAAAGCATGTTTCTGATCTGACTGAGGAAAAAAACCCACCCAAATCCATGTCTCAAAAATATGGGAAGAAACTAGCTGTAACATATAAAAGTAAGCCTGAGGAGAAGATTAAAGACTTGAACTGTAATCTAATGGGACACAGAGCCAGTGCTGAACCACTTTTTTTAGTGTAAGGAGGAGACAGAGAAGCAATAGGAGTTGGGGATAATCAATGTTTAATACTTGCAGATATTTTCTTGGGCAGTTTTGATAATCTCAGTCCTTGACAGGTACCACTATAACATGACTGGATTACTTTACTGCTTCACTGTTAACACAGATAATTTTTGTTTTTCATTCATGACCAAAAACTTTGTCATGTATCATTTTAGGTAGTCCAACAGAGAAATAAAAACTTCTCAAATGGATTGAAAACATCATGAGTGTTTGACTCTGCTGACTCTAGTACAGCACTCCCTAACTTGAACAAGTAAGCTTCCATGTGAGGGACATACTTCTATCTGTGAATTTATTTTTAAAATTGTTGTGTGCAAGTTGAAGCTGTTCTTGGAGACAAAATAAATAAAAAATTTACAGAAACACACCAATGTGTCTTAAAAGTACTGCTACAGAGGTGACATGCTATTTTGTTTGAATGGTATATAATCACCCCAGAGCAGTGATTCACTTCCTATAGTAACTAATGCATTTTGGGATCACTGGCAAATTGAGAGGGCATGAAGGTTTATCCATCCCAAGCCTTGCACTATGACTGTGCAAGCCATGGCTCCACGATTTTTGCCTTCACTTGACTGCACAAACAGGGTGGGACTGGATCAGCATCAGACACCAAGGGTAAGCCATGACTGTGGAAATTACTGCATGGATTCACAGAGCAGCACTTCTTCCCACATATGGACAGGACTGTGCTTGGGGAGTGTGAAGCATGGAGAGGGAAAAGATAAAAAAATTGAGGCCCTCATTCCCTCATTCACTGTGATCATCAAACTTACGGGGAGCAATGCAAATAAAATTGCTTTGATCATTGCCAAAAAAACCCTTATTTTCCCTTCTTTTCTCTCTTTCACTTCACTACATCTACTGTAAGAGTGATCAAGTGCCTGTTTAAGTGCAGGCATCTTCCTCCCTAGAGATGCCCGTATTTTAATGATTTGTCAAGTGATCCACATTGAAATACACATTATTTATTACATACTTTGCACTTCAACAGCCACTTCCATCTGGAGATGGAAGGCGGTGAGTTAGAGATGCTAATGAATAAAGAAGTCATTATTGATTCACAATTTCTTCTATTTAAGCAGTTAAGAGTATTTCTAATTTTTGTCAGCTGTCCCTCAAAATCCCCGAGAGTCAAATGTAATTTTAACATTTCTCTCCTTTAATAGAGGGGGGTGTATTTTCCTTGCAACAAAAGAAAGTTAGGTTATATATATGGGAATACTGATTATACAAAGCTCTGTTAAACCTATAAATGGAACTCTTTAATGACCTTAAAAAATTGAGCTATCTTGGGAGTTACTTGAAACAAAACCAGGTAAAAGAAAATGGAATTTTAGTCCCATTTTAAAAAAGATATTAGTCCCTTAGTTCTTCCAACATTTCTGAAGAACAAGTTACTATTATCTCCATATTTTGCCCAGGGAAACAATGCCTTGTAGCAAGGTTAACAAAATCACAGGTGAAGTGCAGTGGTAAAGCTGAGAAAAGTGTTTTATTTTTGAGCCACATCCATTTTATTAGGTCACCTTAAAATGCCATTCTTCCTATGCAGATTTCCTGCTCCAGCAGGGTAACTTCTAGTAAGATGCTACTCAAAAAGAAAGGAAAATGTGACATTGACATCAATACTAGGCTCATAGAAAACTTGATCCTACAAACATACATGAAGATGAGCTAACTGAGTGCCATCAGATTGTTAATATGAGGAAAGTTTCTCAAATTCATTTAATGGCTGCCAACTTTAGACATAAAATCTTGGTACTATTGGCAATTTCCTATGGACTTCAAAAGGGTCAACAAAAGGGTCTTTGAAGTCTTATGCTTTAGCCAGCTGGTAGCACATCTTCCACCTCAAATCAAGTGTTACACCACTGAAGTGATTCAAAGACTCCCAGTGTCTGTGTAATTTAATATTTTCTACGTATTTATTCCCAAATGGAAGAAATGGCAAGAATGAGCTGTGTGGCATAAGTATCCCTTATTACTGGCATAGTTGCCCAGGGTGTTAAGCTGTGGCAATACCCATTGTGTAGAATCAAAGCCAGGCTTTAAAAGTTTCCCAACACATCTCCAAAAGGTGACGAATGGAAATGTTTACTATTTGTTGGCTGCTAAGTAGGGATTCCTCTTTGCTGACAACTGTTCAGGATTACTGACTGAACTCCTTTTCATTGACAAACATTAGCTGCAAGTCTTTTTTTCCACGCTCATAAAGCCAACATGCAGCAAACCAGTCTCTGCCTGGTTCTTCTTGAAAGCCCATATCTTTTCCAGTGCATTGTGGGCTTCAGAAAGGCAGGCTTGCCTCCTTCTGTGTCCATTGTGTGGAGCCTAATTTATAGTCTGAACAAGCGTTTCACTATAAAAGATTTGCTTCTCCCTGCTCACTTCCTATTTCCCACAGTTAAAGCAAGTTTCAAATAAAGGAATCACGGGCCTCCAAGATTACAAATTAGGCAAAGTAACACTCGGAGCATTAGCAAAGACTTTGTACTCAAAATGGTAAGTGAAAGGCCTACAGAAATACAATCAAATCAAAGCAGGACAAAACCTAATGCAGGAAGTCTCTCCAAAGCTGTTTTTAATGTTGCCCATAACAAATACCTTTGGTTTAGGCACAGACATATTTGAGTGGAAACTGGGTAAATGCCAGCAGCTGCTTTGCAGACATTTGAAGCTGGAAGAATCTGCTTAGCTAATTGCTTGGTCTGGGCACCACGTTGTAGAACAACCTATTAAGTGCCTGACTTATTTAAACTCAGGTTACACTTCTGTATAGGTTGTTTTGTTTTTTTTCCAAAATAGGAATCTATTTTGATTTAATACTGTTTTCAATAGTGTTACCACAGAGCTTTATTTTCTACTTCCTGACAAGTTTTTCTTTCCTCCAAACCCCAACTTTAACATAAAAATTCAGTTTCCCTACCAACCTCAGTGGCCAGTTATTTATACTTTACTGTGTTCTTTGTGTTATGTTAAAATTGAAAGAAAAATCTTTGCTTCACAGGCAAGGCAGTGCTGAGATTATTGGATGTGACAGAAAAAAAATCAAGGATTGGGTTGATTACAGTTCGGAGGAAATATTCAACAGAGCAAATGTGAAAAATTGAATTGAATCCCCCTGTCTCTTTTTCTGCTCTAGAAGAATCCACAGCCCAGAACTGCTTCTGGCAGGCTCTAATGTCTTATCTACATTTTGGCCATGGTCCTTTAAGAAGAGATTTTCACCATTCACTTAAGAGAACCACCCTCACTCAGGGTGAGTGATCAGCTCCTCTCATGAAAATGTTGTAAAGAAAAGGTGATCTCTGAAAGGTGGGACAGAAACTCAGAGTTAAAAGTCAATCCAGCACAAGAATAAATTAAATTCCAAAACCTTCTGCAAGGAGAGACAGAAAGGGACAATGAGCAGTAACTTCTGTCTGCTCTACCAGTCTGGTTGGCTCCAGCAGAAGGTATTTTAAGTGAACATGTATTGATCTGCAAAAACATCTCAGAGGGAAGTGCATGCTATCCTCTGAGTGCCCACTCTACTGGGAAATAGTCTGGTGGTTTTGCAATAAGTGAAACTGAGGTGCTTTTTGCCTCCTAACATGGAAGCAACAGCCTTCATGCTCTAACAAATCTTTTCTATAGCAGTTAAAATGATGAGGAAAAAGGAGAAAGTAGGAAAATAAGGAGTAAAACCATCTTTTTCACATAGTAACACCACTCCAGAGGCTGTTCTTAGAAAAATAGAATTATCTCCTACAACAACATTTTCAATAAAAGTGAAACATTATAATAACTTAAATGATAGTTCAATGATTCCCCCTTGTACTCTGCTTCCGTGGGCATTTTAGCAAAACTCAAGAGTATGCACTACAAATAAGTAAATAAATGTTATTCTATTCCTCTGTTGTGCCTGTATGTAAAAGACCTGAGGTATTCAGCAAAAAAAGGGGTTTGGGATCAACCTGACTCAAGACCAGGAGAATATCCAATGTTTCAGAGTCAAAACTATGGCAGAAGTAGGCATTTAGATGCCATGAAAATGATTCCTTGTGGGGAGAGCCCTGTCTCTGCTCAAGCAAGGGCACAAGACCCTTTTGCAGCCTGGAGGGAGGTGATGGCCGTGGCAGGGAGCTGCTGTCCCAGCTCTCTGTGCAGCACACGGGACACAGGAGCTCCAACCCCTCTGCAAGGCCAACAGCTCGCCTGGCAGCTGCAGGAGTTGTGTTTCGTGGGAATTCAGAGCAAACGTGTGCCTTCAGCCTTTAATAAACCACTGCGTGGCCTCAAGCAATGATGGATAAAAGCAAGGGAAAAAGCAAAAGCTCTCCCTGGCTAAGTCAGGAGACTTAGCCATTCTATAAGTTAATCTCTGTGACTGAAGCTTTATACCCACACTTCAAATATATTAATCAAAAAAGTTAAACTTTCTTTGTATTTTTCCTTCTCCATCCCTTCCCATCCCAACTGCTGCCTGGACGGTTTGGGCTTAGATGGATGGGCAGCATGGTGAGTGGCAGTGCCTCAACAAGTCCTGGCACTTTGGTTCTCATTTTGGAGACTATTTATTTTGGAAACGTTGATCATGCCCAAAACAAGCAGGCAGTTACGCTGAAAGTTTGTAACTTTTTTTTTTTGTTAATATTCCTTATGTTCTTTTTTCCTCTTTTCAGAACAGTGAACCATTATTACAACAGATGTAAGTTTTAAATCAAAATTATTTCCTTCTTCTCATGGCACAGAAATGAACCATGTGCACAGTAAGGCATGAAGGAAGTGAACAGTTCGTTGGAGTCTAAGGCATGCAGGAACATTGCTGAAGAAACTTCACCAAGTCCATGCCAGGGATCACGTTACCCAAACAAAAATCTTTGGCATTTTTATGCTGTATTTTACCACCTCCAACTGTATAATAGACAAAAGGCAAGGAAAGCAGCTGGAGTGGAATAAAAAGTGTTTCATAATAAACCATCATACTTTGAGGGGGCCTTTAAATTATTTTATCGTTATTCAAGGTGATATTTTTACAAAATTACTTTCTACCTGCTTTGTCTTCTACCATAGGCTCCTGCAGCTACAGTTAAAAATGCAGGAGGTACTGAGTATATAGAACAAAATACTTAAAATGTTGTTTTATCAAAACTCAGAATAAGGCCACTGAGAGCTATCAGTAAATGACCTATTCTGTGACATTTTTAAATGACACCTATCAGTTTTACATTTTAAAATTATTTTTCTAAAAGGCAAATAAGATGAGGAAGGTAGCCAAAGGCTCCACAGTCAAAATACAGCCAAAAATACAGTAAGGAAGTTTTGCAAAATGGAGCAATGAATAATAAGGCCATAATTCTGGCAGTTTTCAGCTAACAATCACGTTTGAAATCTCTGTTGTGAAGACCAAAGAAACAAGTGCTCGGATGCCCTGCCCACAATTAAATAATTGAACAGTATCCACACAGAGAGAAGGAGGTGGGGGAGGGAAGGGTTTGTACCCACCAGTGATTATTAATGCAAATCCATTGCAATCTGAAACTATCTTACATTCCTAAATGGGTCACATCACTGTTAAAAAGAATGTTCAGGCTTCTTTTAGAAAGCAACAGCTTTACTGAAATATGTCTTACCATATGTTTTAATTAAAAATGTAGGGGTTTCATCCAACTAGGTTTTGAGGACTGTTATATGGGTCAATTTATTAAATCAAAAGCAGCAGAAACAATAAACGCAATATCCATGAGAAGAGAAATTACTTTAATCCAGCATGTTTGAAATTCCCTAAGCTTTTTAAGATTTTTTTTTTTTTTCTGAAATGTTTGCAAGAAAGAAAAAAAGTCACATTAGGCATTCAACACCATCTCAAATGTGGACTAAGAGTGTAGCCAGGATTAAAAAACACAGTATAACAAAAAAACAAAAACAACTACTCAAGAGTGGAAGAAAATGCCTTATGGAAAGGGAACATAAAGAGGTCAGTCATTCTCCTTTGCTTGTCTACCAGAAGACTGGGAGGTGATTTGAGTATTGTGAGTAAGTGCCTTCCTGGGGAGAAAACAGTGGTTTTTAAAGAGTTCCTTAACTGGGCAGGGAAAGGCATAACGGGGAACATGGGCCAGATATAATAAAGCATAAAGTAAGGGATGTCTTTAGCAGAGATGCAATTAATTCTGAAACTAACAGGGAAAACAGTGGATTTCCTACCATCTAACTTACTACAAACTGATGTTTCCTTACCAAAGGTAGATTATTGGGAGAAAACATCAGACATTTTAGGGCTGGGTTATAAACAGGATATATAAACAGGAATTCAGATTGACAAAGTGCTCAATGATTTAACAATTTCTTAGGAAAGCTGGTGTTGTGGCTCAGTGAATACAGATTTACAGCCAAAGCATTTGAGCAAAAAGGCAAGGTACAACAGAAGCATCTGCATGTGCATGCATATATCTAAACATAAAAAATGTTCAGGCTTTCCTTCTGCATTATAAAGAAGGAAGTAACGTCACAAACCATTTTTTTTCATTTAACAATTGGGGAGTAACTCAGATGTAGAATTTCAGGCCCACAACGCCACCTTGTATCAAAGGATTTTGCTGTTTGAAGTCTTCCTGGTGCCACCTGGACCTCAGAGTCCCTGTCCTCGTGCCATGACCCAATTCCAGACTGGTTCCCACTGAACAGATACCCAGGCTCTGGGTCAGGGTGTCTCCAACAAAGATGTGTCAGAGCCAGAATTGCCCCAGCCCATCACAATTATCTTACTCAACGAGCCTGACAAGCAAGCCTGCTTTTAAAAGGTTCAGCGGGGCTGCTTTGCAGAAGACAGTGTAATCGCAGGCAGTGACACTAAAGGAAGGATTCTTTGAATTTTAAGTTTTGCCTCTGAACAATTTCTTTTCTGAACAATTGATCTTGTGTCCCACATTCAGGTCTTTGGAGGATGAGAGGTATAAACTCCATTTAACACAATCAATAGCAATATTCCCCAACACCATGGAAGCACTATTGTATTTTGGACCATTATGGGGCGACACAATTGTCAAAATCTAGGCTTTGCTGCCTGTGACAGGGACTCCCTCAGCTGGAGGAAGGCAAATTACTTTCATGTGAGCAGGAAGAGAACAAAAGGAGAAATAACGCTTTGAAACATTCAACAGCCGATTCCTTACAGACAGATGGAAAGGCTCTGAAAAATATCCCCTCCATTAGTTATTGGTGGTCTCAAAGGATGAGGTTTCACTTGAATGGAAAAACTAATAAGTTTTATAGCATATACATTCCAGTAACAAATGAATAACTTGCCAAGAAAGGAATGTGATATTCTACCTGAGTTGTGGCAATGTTTGTTCCATCGGTGACCTCCACAGTCATATTATACATTGACCTCTGCTCTGCATCCAAGGGCTTTGCAACGACAATAGTGCCCACTCCCTTATCCACGTCGAAAGAACTATCGTAATTCCCTCCTAATTGTTGCACAAAAATACAATCAAATTAGCCATCTCTTGAAAACTTGCAAGTATTCCTAAAAGTGGGCATATCTGTTCAGTGTCATCCATCTTAATGGCCTCTCTTAGCATACACAGTATGTCTAGTGATACTTCTTTGTTCGTAACTCATTTATATTTCAAAGCACAGTTTGTATATTGAAAAGCAGACATCATTAAAATGCATTGCCAAAATAGAAAGAATAAAAATCTAGCAGTACATTTAAGTAAACTATAGCTGAATCTATAATAAGAATCTAATGGCTATAAGCCCCTAAGATGTGTGCCCTTGTAGTTTGAATAACGAACAAGAGAAATTATATTTTTGTATAAAAGTCATTTCAAGAGAGTTTTCATCTACAAATTTTATTTTCAGGAAATCCTCACTGATACTTCTGGGTGCAAATACCATCATTGGAGTTTTTTTTTTAAATTACAACTATTATCAATTTTAAAAATGCAAATAGAGATTTGTTATGTTAATACCAAGGACAATGATAATTACTGGCAGCAAAGGTCAAATCCTGCCAGTCTTTTAGGAATTATTCAAATAGATCTGACAGGATACACAACCTAAATTCTTTTCAGTACAAAAACACCCTCACAAAGCACTGTTCTAGTACTAACATCCCCTTTTCCTGTCACACACTGATTGATGCAGCAATGGGAAAACCCTCCTGAGTACTGAGTGAAAGAAAGAAAAGAAAAAAAAATCTATTAAAAAGTAAAAGAAGGCTATAAATAATATAATCTCAAATATAATTTCAGATTGAAGGGTTACAAGATTTGTCAGCCACAGCTATAGTTTATAAATTTGAACCACTCATTATTTTCAAAAGCAAAGCACACATTCCCTGCTGATAAGCTGTTTTCTTACTCACTCATCCATAAAGTGTAATTTAGTATTAGTTGAGTCTGAAATTTTTGGAGGCTAGGGATTGGGAGAGGTGGGACACAACACTGCTGACAGACAAACTCTTAAGGTGTATTCATAACACAGCAATTCAATGCCAGCCCAATTCTACAAAGAAAAGCCTTTCAAACCCCACTGGTTATGAGACTTGTGCAACAGCTGCTGAAACCTCTTGAGATGAGTCCACAGGTAGAAAAATATCCATCCAATTGACTTAACTCTGGTGAAATATATATAAAGACAGATATAAGTGAATGGCTGGAAGTGTCACAAAATGGCTCTTGAATTTTTAAGGGTGGGGATTGAGTAGAGAAGAGGAGAGTCTTCCATGCTCTCCTATCTGCATGGTTTGCTGACCAGGAACTGGCATTATTCTTAGAAGCAGTCATGCATTTAGTGAGAGAAGAATGTTTTGGCATTTAAAGAAATTGAAGATGAGGAGGCAACACAGCAAAATCATGGCCCCTGAATTCCTTAATGTGAAGAAACCCTCACTTCTACCTCTCACACAGGCTATTGCAAAGAAAGGGCAAGGTGGAAGAAACACTGCCCTGTCCATTTTTGCCTTGAAAGACATTCAAGGATGAGTAGAAGAAAATGAGAGGAAAAATAAGAATGCAGGTGACTGCTGCAGAGGAAAGGCAGAACTGGTGAACTTCTGCACACTGAAATGATCCAAATGTGGCAATTTCAGATGTACCCTCAGATTTGCACATGTTGAATAGATGTATGCACATTTATACAGGTCTAAGACTAATAGATGAGGTCATGGTTTTCCATGAAAACACTGTCACTGGATCTGTTGTCATTTATGGTGGATAGAAACATTGCTTATTCCTTACCCGCTTTCTGCAAGCTGACCTTGATATTTAAGTAATAGCAAGGTATTTGGACATTGATTGTATCACTGGTGCCATTTTATTTTTTTTTTTAAGTTAGTCTGGAAGAAAAAGTTTCTCTCTCCCAATTAATGTTTTAAATTGATTTACTTGAGAAAAATTGCACCATGAAAACCTCCTTTGAAGAAAAGAGCTTGAGATTCATGCAAGGAAATCTCAGCTGAAATGAAACTAGCCTTGGGACAGTAGGCACTTCACAAAGAGAATGTTTCATACTGATAACCATGAAAACAAAGTGCAAGTCTATACTTTGAGATGCTTAATAACCATCTTAATGAGCAATCAAAAATTATATGCTATCAACTGGCACACACTTCCAAAAAAACCTGCCTTTAAAACTTCCAAGAAGTAACATGGAAGGATTAGCAATAAATGTTTTAAATGACCTTCTGCTGGCTTGGAGCTAGGTTTTCAGGGCACCACATAGTCTACTGCAAACAGCCCAACTTCTTCAAGCCATTTCTGTTAAGTGAAGCATACTCTTACTCTAAAAGAAGAACTGAATCCATCATGTGAATTTTTTATACATTATTCACATCTTCCAAAATGGTCTAGTGACAAACAAATTAATCTTGGTTGCCAGCCACCCCAGCCTACACCTGTAACTAACCAGGCAATTCAGTTCATTTTACACTGAATCGTTTTCTATTAAACAAGGCAGAAGTTGCATCAAACACTGAGGCAGAGATGGATCAGAGAGCATCCTGCTGTGAGATTTGTGATTATAATCTATTTTGAAGTGAAACTCTGAATTATTCATGATTCAGTCTTCTACATTTTAACAGACCATGGGCAGAAGAACCATGCAGATGGATGAACTTCTGGGAATACTGTCTGAGATACTGGGTCTTGCCTCTCATCTGCAGTATTAGAGGCAGTCTGAAAATGGTTTGTGCTGCTCCTCAGCCTTTGTATACACTCTAAACAGGTCCTCATACAATAAATGCTTCTGAAGCTGCACTAAACACTGAAGAATTAATGAGTTACATAAAAATGCTATAGAAGTTAAACATTAAGAGCCTTACAGATGTGTTAAGTCTATGCAAGGCCTACTAGAAGCATTCACCACAATCATCTTTGAAAGATGGGTGCTGGAGTTGCACAAAGAGGAGTTCATTAAAGAGAGAGGTATCATTCTTGAGTAAAATCAAACAGGAATCTTCTCTTTAAAACTCCTGCAGCTGGGAACTCCACATGAAACCACTTCCTTCCAAAGGTGCCCATGTAGAGGATGGAGGGCTGAAGCCCTAGGAGGTGACAGCTGAGAAGGTACTGGCTTCTGGAGTACTGGAGGCTGGTTTTGAAAGCCTGACACTGTGTCTGTACCAACCCTCTGGAAGTGAGCTTGTTTGCAGTGCCATGAGCTCCTATAGTATCAGTTTTAACTATTTTACTATTTTCCATTTAACAGTTTCTTTGATCACAATCTTCAGATGAAAGAGGGCTAAGGATGATGGCATTTTGTTCAGCTGTTCAGTTTTATTAATGTGAATTTTCATTACTTATTCCACTTTCCAGCATTTGGCACATGCTTTCCTTTTTACTGTCTACTAAACTCTGCTTTCAGATACAAGATACATAGAAGCTGTCTTTGCTAATGTGCTTGCAATTGCATTAGAAAAGATATATTTCAAATGAAGATAATACATTGTGAGTTCCTCAGGCACTTGGGGAAAATCAGTGACAAAGAAAGCAAGATGATTGAACTGACAATTTGGCTAGACAGGTTGTCCTGAGAAAGCATTTTAATACTGAATAACCCCAGACAGATGTGGATTAGCTGTTGTCTATGGTATCATTTCAGGCTAAAATGTAATGCTGATACATCGTCAATACAGTTTAAAGACCTCCCTTAAAATAATTTGATTACACTGCAGCACTTTGAATAAGATTTTATGAAAAGGCCAGATCTACTTTAAATACTGTCTTTGGATGAGAAGACTTATAATGTTGGAATGATAAAAATTCATCCAGAAAGTACTTTTTCTCTCTTAATTGATTGTTAAGATTCCCAAAGTCACCTAGCAGATAGTTATGTCTACACTTTGTACACCTAAAGTTAAGTGAGACGATTTCCACCTTTACTTTGTGGAGGTTGATCTTGATGCTTTTGCATAAGCCCTGGAAGTATTGAATTTTTAGAACTAGTGTTTTTTCATGTCATCTAAAAGCTTGTTATGGTTTATATATGATTTTCCAATTCCAGCTGTTATCAGTGCAGCTGTAGAAACAGCCCCTGCTACAAAAGATCTTATTAGCTGGCCCTCACCACGACTTTCCAGAACAGCCTTTATTTTCAGTTTAACAGATGGTAGAGTACAGTTAAGAAAGAGATCTCAGGAAATTGAACTGAGACACCTCTGAGCCAAGAGAATCTGAGTTGTGTACTTGGTACAGAGTTGGTTACATTTTCTTTCTAAATCCGGACTGTTACCTTCATTCTTAGCTTATTTCCTGGTTTCACAGTCATTATGAACAATTTTTCTTCTGACAAAAGTCCTGTATACTTTGGAAAGAATTAATTTTTCTTCTTACAAAGAAGATCTTAAAAACCCCAAACCAGTGAACCTTGCAAAGCTAACAAGAGAGGTGCAATGGACAGACCAAGGAAAACTCGAACTATCAAAAGGGATTTCTGGGGGTCAGCTGAAGAATTTGCCTAAGGCAAGACACAATCCAGATCTTGCATTCCCACAAGATGTGGGCTCTATCTCTGTCCCGTTATAATTTCAATGTTGGGGTTTTTCATTTTCAAGCATATTCTTCTTGCATTTCATTTTGCTGTTTGCAGTTAATTTTTTTTGGTAGGGCTTTTCCTAGATGTGGGTCCTTTTTGGTAAGATGCTGAGCCTCCCCAAGTTCCTATCAGTTGCTGATACACACTTTAAGATGGGATCATGATACTGGGAAAAATAAATTTTTCCTCTGAAATGGAAACATGTCAGCAAATCTGGAGGATTCGTAGGGAAATGAGTACCATATGAGGACCTTTTTCCATATTTTCCAGTGGGATGATCAAAAAGGCTGGGATTGAATACCACCTTAGAAATATCTGAAGACTGTAGGGAATCAGACTTGTCCAGTCTCAGATGCAAAGATGGATCTCACTGAGCTCTGGAGGACATCCCCAATTCAAACACTGCCAGAACCTAGCAGGAGTCTCCCTTCACTGCTAGACAGCAAACACTCAATGTTTCATGTTCAAACTTAATAGAGCCAAGATATTTGGATATCCTCACACAAGTCTCATTTGGCTCACCATGCCATGATGGACAAATGGAGAAAAGACATACGGGAGATTATCTGATTTAGAGAACAGTCCTCTAAACCACATTTTCTCAGTGCAGAAAAGATTCTTACTTGTCTTGTCCCAAAAAAAGCTGACAGCAGTGAATAGTGATGATCAACTGGGCCAATTGCTACAATTCTCACATTGCTCAGGGAAGAGAATCAGAGCAAAATGCAGGAAACTAATTCACCCTGAAACTCAGAGGTGAGGCTAAAGTACCTCTAGGATGTTCAGAAAAAGAAGCAAAGTCAAAATTTTCATTTCTTTTGTTTTCAGAGAAGATGAAATAAACTTAATGATTGTCTCAAGAAATAAAAATTCAAGTACAGATTTTTAAAATCATAACATAATAAATACTAGCAAAATGACAGACAAATATTTATTCTTTTAGGTTCTATATCTTAAGAAGAAAGTAATGCAGACTGAATTTTAGATAAAACTACTGTAAAGAGAGTCAAAGCCTTGAGTTTGCTGCTAAGAAGCTGAAAGCAAGGGCATACAAAACAAAAAAGAAACCAGGAAGGTATTTTAGATAGTTCTCAGAGAAGATTATTCAAAGAAGGCTAGGGAGCTGCATGTTTTTGACATTAATGAAAGCTTGCAGCACTATTAATTAAATGGACAATTAGCTAAAACGAATGGATATTAAAATTATTGGCATTTAAGCGCGCTTGGTAAAAAGTTCTGATGTGCTTTCAAAGCTTGGCTGCTGTTATAAAGGCACAGGCTGGGGGAAGAAGCAAAGATAGAGGGAGGACCGTGTGGGGGACCAGAGAGATGTTGTGCAACATGCTACTTAAGCAAAAACTAGCACCATGCAGCTTAGCTCCAGTGTTAAAGTAGTCATCCCACCATTCCCATCAGTAATAAAGGAAAAAACAGAAAGGGCTCAATTTACCTGGTATAAGTAAAGATCTCTGACTTATCTTGGAGTTCCCACTGAAAATCAGTTTTTTTATTAATTATTGAATAGATTTAATACAACTGATACAACTTATGTCTTTCACATTGTGGGATCTGCATGAATTGAGAATGGCATTGAATGCAGTCTGAAAACAGGAAACAGGTATGACATCTCAAGTATTCCCAATTAAAGAAACAAACAATCATCCAAGTATCCTGCTCCTCTCTAGTCCATCAATGGAAGATGACCTTCCTGCTTGTGTAGCATTTTCCTCTCCTGGAGCTGAATAACTCAAGAACTTAAACAGCTACCTAAAGTATATATAATTAAGGTGCATAAGTTAGGCAGACAGAATACTTTATAGCCAAACTTTATCTGCTCTCCCTCTCTTTTTTTTTAGCTGGGAGAAAGTGCATGTTATGCATTAAAAAAGAGATCGTCTGGAATTCCAATGCCCATTTAGTTTGAAAAGGTCATAAAGATAAAGGTCAAGCTGCAAAACTCTATATTAAACCATGTCTCTACATAAGCCTTCAGGGGTTTTGTTGACATTACTGTGAACTATGCACAGAGGTACAGAATCACGAAATACCAGATGGAGCAGGGTCAGGTCTGGTTTTACAGCAGCACAGAAACCATCTCTTGCATCAGCTTTCTATATATATGACAATTAATTTCTACAAATACCCCATGCCTTTCGTTGGGCTTTCCAGCATTAGACCTCAATGCTGATGATATCAAAGAACAATTAAAAAAAGTGGGGCTTGACACTGGCTAAAGGTAGCAATGGTAATCTAAATACACAGTGTTCTGTCTGTTAAACTCTCAGGATGGGTTTTGTCTTTGCTCCTTGCATGCTGTGTGTCTGGAACAGCAAGGTCTTCTGCATGCCTGGGATTGTTGGCTATTCCTGCTGCAGAAACTGGTGCTGCTGGGAGTGCTATTATTTGTAACAGCACCAGTATTTTATGAAAACATTCATATGGCAACAGAACCAAACTGGAGGGTCAGGGTCACTGATTTCTCATTAAGTCTAAGGAAACTCTGTCTCAGTGACATCTGCAGTGAAGCAGCATCTTGCAGCTTCAGAAGCCACAGCCCACAGGGAAACCATTAGAATTGTTTAAGTAGGGAAAAATCTTCTAAACCATTTGAACTAGTTTAGGCATAAAGACCACATTAAATGACAGAGGCTAAAATTTCCTAATGTTCTCCCCATCATTTCTATTTGGCAGGCAAAAAATCAAATATCATTATAAGGTGTTGCTTGATTGAAAGTGACTCTAATAATGAAAAAGAAGGTAGCGGAAGAGCAGTGGCTTCCCTCAGGGCAGCATTTTAATGAGAGTTGGTCAAGTTGCCATGGAAAGGACCAAGAGAGGTCCAGCAAAAGGTTCAAATAGGGAAAAAACTGTCAATAACATCAAAAAGATGGATTTGTCCTGGGAGGAAAGGGTCAGTGAGGAAGGGAATAGAAATGTAAACATTAGCTGATAAACTGCATGTAGCATATTGAAGCAACCAAGGAAATGGAAAGAAAACTGTAGGAAACATATGCTGTCCTCCCCAGGGACTAGCAGGAACCCCAGAACATGGTAGTAGCTTTGGGTTTAATTTGAATATGATTGGCACATCAGAAACTGTGCTACAAATTCAGAGAGGAAATGGTGCTGCTTCTGTCTTTCATCTGCACAAACTGGCAATAAAAGGTAGATGAAAACGACTCTGACAGACCCTTTCTCCTGTGGTCCCTGTCTTTCCTGTTGGCTAAACCCATTTGCAAACAACTATGCTGAAATGGGAGCCAGGCTCAATCCCTGTAAATAAAGACTGCTGATGCACACTTTCTGCTAAGTCCATGGTAAAGGCTTTTTGTTTCTCTAATCTTTCATACAGCCTTTGCTTTATAACCCTTCATTTAAATTACTACACTTTGTGCAGGTGCCCAGTTTTACATCCAAAGGTATTGCATACAAGCATCTGCAAATATTAAGAAGCACAATAATTTTCCAGGGGAAATTCTCACTTTTGAGATGTTAAATGAGATATTTTAAATGACATTAACTGAATCAGCAGCATAAGTGGGGAAGAAATGCTTAGGAACATTGACTCCCATTTCTCTACTTCAACCAAGCGAGACCCTTTGCTCCCTGTCATTTTGGCAACTAATGGCATTTCCCTGTGATTTTAAGACTTCCATGGCTTCTCCTCCTTTTTACTAAGGATGCATCTCCCTCCTTATTTTTATAAGCGATTTTATGTAAAACAATTTTGTGGTTGAAATCTCACATCAAAAAACATTTCTCTGTTTCAGCTTGCATTCAAGACAAACTTTTGGTGGCTCCATTTGTAACCCATATGTTGAGGCATCCCATTCTGTTTCACAGTTAAATGGATGGCACTGGACTGTGAGAAGTTTGAATTAATTATTTGCGATAAACTGTGGAAAATCCGTGAATAAAATGATAATAATTGGACACAAATACGGTAAAAGCTGTCATAGAAAGAAATGCAGCACATCCATGTGTCGCATCGCATCCTGTCACAGGCACTTATGAAAGATGTAATATAAATTGTCTCAAAAAACTTGCAAAAAATAAAAGGCAGCCTGGATAGTTGTATTTTAGCAAATGTGTTTGCACTAAGGGTACCTTCTGTTGAACAGTTCTGCCCACAAGCTGTCTGTAGAATATAGAACATCTCTCGAGCATGCTTGCCACCTTGAAGCAGGGCAGTCGGAAGCAGAAAAAAAAGAACAGAATGCAGAAAAAAAGGTGAAGAAAGAGAGAAATGAGGGACAGCAAGTCTAAGTACCATAAATACATTTAGAAATGAGATTAGCAAAGTATGACAATAGAATTTAAATGACAGACAACATTAAGATTGCAGTAAATAACATAGTAATGAAAAAAAACAATTCAGCCATACAGCGCTTTTTTAAGCTTAGCTAAGGAGTCAGAACAGAAGCAGGAATATTATTATTACTGTTATCACTATATTAAAACAGCATTTTCATTCCACCATTAGGAAAATGGGTTTAATTGGGGGGTGGGGGAGGAGGTGGGGACACGATTAGTTTCCTTGCTCTCACAACCACACAGCCGTATGCTTCTGCCTCTGGGGCGTCCTCCTCGCACGGCTGGCTCCCAACTTACCGACGATGTCGAACCAGAGCGGGATGCTGGAGGGCTGCACCGAGACCACCCCGACCATCTCGGTCACTTTGTCACTCTCCATGACGGTGAAGTTGTAGAAGGGCTCGTCGAAGGTCAGGGGCACGGGCGAGGGCGCCGGCTTTTTTATCCACTCTATGTGGAGACGCACAGTTGAGGATTTTTGGGGCCGGCCATTGTCCACTGCTTTTATCTGGCAGGCACAAAGGGAAAAGGGCTCAGGCTGAGCATCCCTGCTAGGCAGATCAGGGCTAATTCTACTGCAGTGCAATGCAGACTGCTTGGAAAATGGCCTTTGTAATCCTGTATGTCAAATCCCACGAAAAAAGAGGAAGATAAGCACTTATTTTTCTCCTTTTTTTTTCATAATGCTTTGACTTTTCACTGAAAAAACTGATTTTAAACTGAAATGTTTTGTTTAAGCACGTACAACTCAAACACTCCCCGCACAGATCTTCCTCTCCAGAACCAGTTTCCCTCTCTGATTTCATCTTGTGCCCAGCTCCCTCTTGCAGCAAAGCTGGGAGCTTTGTAATGACCCTGTGTAAGAACATTCATTTGCAAAACATGCTCACCCAGAGCATGTCTGACTGCTTTCAAGTAGCATCTCTGTTGCAGATAAATACTTCTTATATTGCCTTCCTCGGAACCTTTAATTGAATTAAATAAGTTTCAAGTAATTTCCCTCATTCTCCATAATGAACATAATTTAAAATTTTGCCATATTTTCTTTTCTTTCTCGTGTCTGTCATGTTCATTAAAAGCTGATTTGATTCTTCTTATAATAAAGTCCTCTAGAAAGATGGATAGACTTGATATTTGTGTGGCATGCTTAATGGATTTAGCACAACAAAGACAAGATAAGCAGCAACAAACACTGGGCTTAAGAATTGGCTGAATGAAAGTTACGAAATGGGTGCCTTGGTGGATAACATCAATGTTAACCAAAGGGCTTTTTTTTTGTAAAAAAAGGTAATCTTTCTGGCTATAGAGGACCATTGGTCTAAATATGATGTTATAATATCTTTTTAAAATGGGAAATACTTTTTTTCCCTGAAATATCATGCCCCATTTCTTCCTCTGGAAATGTTTAGAGTGGGTTTGATGCTAACACTTGTCATTCTGCTCCATTCCAGGCAAGCAGGCCCTTTGTGAAAAGATGCTGAATGTGTGATGAGCAGTTTCTAGGTAGAAAATCTTCAGTTGTTGCATTATAAAAAGGCTCAGATCTCAAAAATGACTTTGAGGTCATCAGAGGGAGAAGTACTCACTCACCTGATGGCTGCTCTACTCTGATTCCTACGTATTTCTCAACATTTTGTTATTTATTCCTTTTCCAACATTATGAAGGCAACCCACTTCTGTATATACCCACTTCCAGATGTTAGACCATGGACCTCTGACATTTTTAATTCAACTCCTTAACTACAACTTGTTGGCTTATTTCTGTGGATGAAGAGCACACATTCTAGTCTCATATGGCTTTATATCAACTCAACCATCTTTTATTCTCCCTTTCTTTCACTTTCACTATATGGTTAGAGTTCTGAAAGAAGAATTTTGACTGAGATTTCTTTCAACTGAAATTGCTTCCACAACACAAAGGACACAGTGCTAGTCCTCTCTTAGGTGCAGCCACCTAACTGGGACAGCAGATGCCCTCTGTAAGGGCAAATAATCGTGTCCACACAAAAGGTTAAGTACTGATTTGTAGCTGTATATGCCAGGCCAACACAATACAACTTTGGGAGCAGACAAGTGCTTGGTTTTCATTTCTGCATATTCAAGGGAATGGCTTATGCTAACAATTTGCAGGGTGACTTGACACTCAGAGAATACTTCACGACCTGTAATAGGATGAATGATCTCTCAGACTCAATTTTTTGGTAGTAGTTTTATAAGAATACTAGATTGCTTAATTTAAGTCTTATATACAGAGTAAAAACACAGTTATACATTCCTCTTTATACAGGAGGGCTTATTTCTTAAAAAAAAAAAGTCAGTCAAATCGTGGGTTTGTATGTCAATGAAAGAGTGCTTACTGTTAAGATGTCGTAACTCCCTGCTGTGAACTGCTTTCTGGAAGAAACCATCCCTGTTTTGGGATCAATGAAAAACTTCCCATCGTCGTTGCCATCCACAATGCTGTACGAGATTTCTGCATTAGGGCCTTCGTCTTTGTCAACTGCAAAAGCTCTGTAGATTGGCTCCCCCCTTTTCTTGCGGTCCCTCTCGGGCAGCTTGATCTTGTAGGCTTTCTCTGAGAACTGTGGCTTGTTGTCATTCTCATCCAGAACCCGGACCACCACCCACACAGAGGACTGCTTGGGAGATGTGCCCCCATCTGAGACAGTCACCTGAAAAACAGCAGTGTGAGTTATTCTCAACAGCTACAGTGGCACTTCATAAATTGGAGAAAAACATGAAAAGTAAGGAAACACCTTGCCTTCCCCAAAGCTAAGCTGCAGTTTATGACATCTTCTGTGTACACAATACATGATTACTATAAACATGCTCAGTGCTTAACTCAATTTGCCCACAATGGCAAAGCCAGGAATCCAGAAGACTTTTTACTTCTGAGATGGATGTGGAATAAGGAACCTGAAGACTAGGAAGCTATTTCTCAAAACATAAAATCCTTTTATATCAAATTCTGCAGGTTTATCTCAGAAGAGAGAACTGGAATTAACCCATTAATCAGGGATCCCTGCATTTTCTGCATACATATTTTAAAGTTTCTTCTGTCACAGAAAGAATTTGAAAGATGCATTTCTTCTTAAACCCTAAAAGAACCTCTGTCATTTTTTTCCATTAATTATTTGGAATTTCTTAAACAACAAAAGGATTTCTGTCAGTTCTTTTCATTCATTACCCAAGATGTGACAGCTCATTAATTCCAAACCTGCTTTATAAGATTATAAGGAGCACAGAGAGGCAGGTAACAAAAAAATTTCTGCTGCATTGTGTAGAGAGTGCACTGTGCTGCCAGAAACATGTAAGAAATAAAATCTTTGAGATGAAAGTTAATTAGTAATTTAGCTGCAACTTAAACAGAATTACTAATAATTTTCAATCTGAAACACTATGAAAATGAAATGATTCAAGATCAACAAGCCCTCAAGAGATTTAATAATATGCCTTCAAAATGAAATCAATATGTTTCAAACTTCTCCCTCAATATTTCGATCGCATTTTTAATGAGAATGAAATAAGGCAGAAAGTTATTTTTGTTTGCATGAGAGAGGTTCAAATTTAATTTTCAGCTACATATGGTAACATGCCAAATCCCACAGTAGCAATTTCTGATGATAGTGTGCCAAGATATTACATATCCTTCCCTGCTCATACTGATCACTGCACATCGATTGGTTTGCTGGTAACTTCTTGATGTTTTATTTTTCCTTAAAAGTTTCTGTGTTCCCTTGCAAATCCTATAGTCATGATGTCCAATCATCAGGCAAAGCAAGATTTTCTGGTAATAATACTCCTTGGCATTGTTCCATCCTTGTGTAAAGTCTTAACTTAAGGTAACCCTGGTTTAACACTGAGATCAGCAGAAAATTTGCATTTTCTATGAGAAAGGTAAAAGACATCATCCCTTTCCTGTATTTATCTAAATGTTTAAAAACTGATGCAGTGGAAGGGAGCAGACTGACTCCCTCAGGGACTGAAACAGCTCATTTATAGAAAAGTGAGGAGCATGGCAACATACAGTGGCAATGTAAATTCCCCAAAACAGCCCAGAACCCACTTGGAGAGTGCAACCCATCCTCCCAGCAACATGTACCAGTCTCAGGCCTCTTTCTCCCAAGATTGAAAAAGAGTTTCCTAAGTGCTGAGTAGGTTTGGCAATTAGCAGTTGTTGGGATCACCACATTGCAACTGGCCAAACTCTAGGTGAGACCATGAGTTAACAAAGGAAAACCTTTTTGGGGTTTCTCCACAGATAAAATGATCATTGATGACAAGCAGTACAAGCTGCATTGCATAGAAACAATCAGAGACACACTAATCCAAACTGTAAAAAACCCCAACAAAATGCTTTTCTGGAGTGATGTTCTTGCATTAAAAAATATTAGCAAGATTCTGGAAACTCTTGTTCTCTGAACAAATACAACTTTTTTTTTTTTTAAAGACATTTTCTTCAACCTGCTAGCAGTAATCAACAAAAAAGGTGTGTGAGTGAGATAAAGGGTTTACAACCAACTATGACAATAAAATCTATGAAAACCACAGTGGTATAAACAGTCAAACAACTAAAATGAAAAAACCCTACCTAAGTCAAAAAACTGCTCAAGAAGTGAGGCATCATTCTGTCTTACCAGTACATTCTCAGTTTGTCAGGTTACTGCTGAAATCCTGACTAGCATGGTGTTGTGGCAGCAAATATTTGCAGGCATGTACTTATTTTTAAGCCCAAACTTGGGAGAAATCTGTTTGATAACAGAAAAGTTACACTGAAAATATCTGCTGACAGCTAACAGGAAAGACTAACGGCAGTAACACAAAAAGACAGATAATTAATAAAAATTAACACAGAATACCTGAAGTTAGTCAGCTCTACATGGACTAAAACTTTACATCCCTGGAGAGGAAAATGTTAGGTACCAGCTAAACCTTTCTCTCTGTGTGACACTCAAAACTTTTCAAAATTACAGGATGCAGCTCCAGTCAAAAAGCTCTGAGTGCCAGACACAGGAGCTGAAGTTCTCTCTTTTGCAGGCATGCAAATTAATTAAGTCTCCTTCACACCAGCGATGCAATTATTTCCCTAACTGTAAATCTGCACCCTGGCTGACCCCTTTTCCATGCTCCATCATCCTGACCCCAGCCTGGCTATTCAGGTTCCAGCCATAAACAAGGTAAAAGAGCTACAAAAATGTCCTCTGCCCCTACAGAAAAAACCCACCATGACAACACATTAAAACAAACCAAGAAATTATTGCCAGTTCAGAATTGTTCCCAGACAAAACCGGGGAGAACCAGAGAGGTAATTCAGCACATCTCTCTGCAAATACCTTTTCCATCAGGACACAGTATCACACCAGCACTTAGGGGCCCCTCTAACCAAGGCAATTTCAATTCAAACATTACCACAGTTCTTAGCTAAACCCTTGAACAGCTGGAAATTACAGCAAAAAGTAACCAGGGAGGGAAGGGAGGTTAGGATGTACATAGGACAAAGTTAATTCACAGCTGGTATCTCTGGAAATGCAAAAGGCAGATGTGCAAGGCACAGGAGACTTGCAGGAGAGAAGCTGTAATTTAGGAGCAGTGAAGTTTAGTTTTACTTTTGTTTAGAAAACTGCAGGTAGCAAGGTAGGAAAAAAGAAAACAGAGAAGAAAGGTAATGCAAATGAATGACATCTGAATGACATCTGTCATTCATCTGTCAGTCTGAGACAGACTGTCTCAATACATGCTTGTCAAGATGTGCCATCAAAAACCCAACGAGAGATGTCTCTCACAGTAATGAGCATGGGAAAAGGGTAAGGACAAAAATCATGTATTTCCCAGCGAGATGAGGAACAGCTGCTTGGGCAGCATGTGCTTTCCTAAATGGTGAACACCTTCTCCTGTCTGTGTGACGAGTCTGGTATCCAGACCCAACTGCTGCACACAAGCTGCTGCTTGACCATGTGCAGCTGAGATGGACCAGCCCAGCTGGGGTCCCCTCTGCTCCACTGGTTAGATATTGCTGCTCATGCTGTGTCAGGACAGCCTAAACAGAGGCTACAGCCTCCCAAGGCTGGGATATAGCCATGAAAGCAGCTGAATTTGGACTCCCTGACTAATCAGACAAAGGTTTGGTCCATTCAACAAGGGTGGAATTCTTAAAAAGAATGTTACCATACACATTTAACAGGGTCTGAATGCAACAGACAACACAAATAATATGAACTATTATATATTTTCATGGTGAAATCCTAAGCATCACTGCTGTTTTCTCACAACCTACAGACAGTTCCACTACAGTTTTCTCCACAAAATGAGCATTTTCCTCTAGGAATCTGTATTTACCTATTGGTTTTAATGCTTATGACTTTACTGAAACATGTCTGTCAATACACATACAGATACTGGTTACCTGAGAATTTATTTGCTAAAGCAACAACAGTCACACTTCCCTTACAATGTTTCCTTTACCAGGACAAGGCCTTCTAAAATCTCCTCTACTTCTATCAGATATGTATTTTTTGAGAAAAATGTACTAAAATATCTCCTTCTGCAGCATATGAAAAATTCAGTGTAATAACAGAAATTTCTCTCCAAGTAAAACAATTTCCACTTCTTCTGCAGGATCTACTTCAGCAGGTTTGGTTTGTAGACATTAACACTCCCTTCCCTACAGGACTGAGAAATATTCACGTTTTTGTTCATGTCCACAGAACAACTAAAAACGGATTTCCACAGAAGTGGACCTTCTCAGTGAAAATGAAGACTGACTCTGACTGTTAACATACCACAGCTGGAATGTTAGATGTGTGAATTTCTTCTTTTTATGACTTTGGAGAAGGCATCTACTGTGGAAGTATTGCCTAATAATCCAGCCCAATCCAGCCTAGCAGACCTCAGCAATGGTGACAAAAGGAACTTTGCCTTGAGACAGTCACTCCTTCTATAAGTGACACTTAATTGGAGAAGGTGTAGTTCTTGAATCTTTCAGAAAACAAATACAACTGTGAGGACCACCCTTCTGAATTAAGAGTACTATATTGAGTCTCATTAACAAAAGCCCATGACTTCCAAGGTAATTATTAACTCAGCTGGAGTGAAAAGCCAGCAGGGATGTTACTTCAACAAGTGCAAGACAATTAGCAGGTGTTTAATGTGAGTCATCAAGCCATGAGAAGAGCAAGTATCTTCTTCCATATCATTCTTTGGCAGGAGGAAGTACTCAGCCTACCCAATTTTTAAGTTATGAGGAACTGTCACATCACTGTCATTAGCATTGCAAAAAGCTGAAGATATCATATTTGCTTGTTTATTTTTTTTAGTGTGATGACTACTTAATGCAAAATAAAGTGAGCTGAGATGCTTGCGCCTCATCAAAGGAGTGTGCACAACGAGGTCTTCAGGTAAAAGTCTCTCACTTCCTCCAACAAGAAATGCTAATTTTGCTTCAGAAAACCTTAGAAAAGAGAATGTGGCTGAGTTACTGAAGGCAGAAAAATGATCAAAGGGAGCGGGAGAGTTGAGGTATACCCCTGCTGCTAGTGACTAATGGGTTTGTTTCTTCTGCCAACGTGTAAACGAGCTGCAATACCTATTGTAAGTCTCTGGAATTCAGCCCGAGCAGAAGTGAAAGATTATAAAGGAGAGCTCATCGAGGGATGAATAGAACTTTAAAGTCAGA